TTCAGTTCTCCAGGGTTAAGGGCGTGCCTAAGGTGAGACACCCAGGTTTGCCATGGTAAATCCTCTCTCTCTCTCTCTCTCTCTCTCTCTCTTCTTCTTTTTTTTTTTTTTTTTTTTTTTTTTTTTATCAAAAGGGAGTTTAATTCTGCTCAGCTGAGCTCCTCTCCTCCATGGAGACCAAGTGCCTGAGCACTAGCTCTAGTGGGTATAATATTCGTCCTAAGTGTCCCAAGGACCACACAAAGGATCTGTGTAAGTTCAGATTCCCCAGCAGTGTCTCTCACCAGGTAACTAGGAAACCCTGAACTTGTGGAGTTTCCTAATGAGACTACTCAAAGTCCCACCACACCATGAATCCTGCCACAAACCTTCATTTTAATTTTTCACAGTTCCAGTGCAGAAGCTTCACACAGTAACAAGTTCCTTGCCCCTGTTAGTTCTCCTTTCCAGAGTCAGGAGTCTCCACTTGGCTGGTTGCTGGGTGCTGACACGCGCCTGGTGCAGCTGTTACCTGTGTCCAAAATGGAACCTCCTCCATCGGCTTGTTACAGGACACCATTGTAAAGTGACTGGGGAGAGAAACTTGACCATCCGTCTTTTTTTTTTTTTTTTTTTTTTCTTCTCTAGTTGGCTGGTACACTTTCCTCCTTGGGGCTCCAAGCTGGGTTCCCTCTAGGCTCTTCCTGCAGCTTTTTTTTTTTTTTTTTTTTTGGACAGGCAGAGTGGACAGTGAGAGAGAGAGAGACAGAGAGAAAGGTCTTCCTTTGCCGTTGGTTCACCCTCCAATGGCCGCTGCGGCTGGCGCACCGCGCTGATCCGATGGCAGGAGCCAGGTACTTCTCCTGGTCTCCCATGCGGGTGCAGGGCCCAAGTACTCGGGCCATCCTCCACTGCACTCCCTGGCCACAGCAGAGAGCTGGCCTGGAAGAGGGGCAACCGGGACAGAATCCAGTCGCCGGGACTAGAACCCGGTGTGCCGGCGCCGCAAGGCGGAGGATTAGCCTAGTGAGCCGCGGCGCCGGCCTTCCTGCAGCTTTTTTGTCAGTGGCTTGGGCTGCTGCAGTGTGGTCTCAGCTCACTTTGCAGTGCTGGTGTGTAGGCTCTCAGGTGCTGGAGTCTTGAACTGTGGGCAACTACACCTTCCATGTAAGTCCACTGTGGTCCTCTAATTTCGGTAGAGTTTCCTCTGCCATTTTTTCCCTAACTCTTCCCTGAGACTACACTCTCCACTTTGTTTAAACTATCTTCTCCTGGATTAGAGCAATAAACTCTCTCCCTACTCCACCATCTTGGAACCTAATCCATCTCTCTTCTTTATGTAGAATTCCCACTCTGGATTTCTTTCCAACTCTCTCTTTGGAATGTACTTTCTCCACTTTTTCACTACTATTTTCCCCTAGTCTAAAGCAGTATGTCCTGTCCCTATTCCACCATCTTGGAATCTCTTTCACCATATTTGCACTAAGGTTGTTTTACTTTCTTATTTTTTTTCACCAGAATTGCAGTTCAAATTTTGTTCAAGAACTTTTCCTTTGAATTCACAGCTTGACTAAGTGTTTGGCATGAGAAAGTCTAGCTTTTGGCCCATCTCACCTTTTGACATGTCTTCCTCACTAAGTGTAATCATTTCTAGCTTTTGAGTTAAAGGGAAGGAAGTTTGATTCTTCCTTTTACTTGAACACTTAGTAACCATTGTAAGATTATTAATTGACATAATTTCAATATTGTTGTATTAGGGAATAGAGAGGTCTAAGGATAGGAAGAGGGATAGAGATGTGGAATAGCATTAGAGCAGTTGAAACACACACATCTTGATTAAGTATGCCATTTTATATGAGTGTCATTTGTGATGCCTCATAACAGAGACAATATTCACATCAGAGGTAATGGATTACAGATAACAGTAATGAAATGCATGAAAATTGCCAAAATGTGGCACTGAGATGTGAAGTGATCACAAACTGTTGGAGAAATGGGACATTTAGACTTGCTTGATGCAGGGTTACCACAAACCTTCAAGTTTTGAAAAATGCTGTAAGACGAAATATTTGGTACAATCTCCTAGCCTTCTTCTCTTACTTTTTTTTCTTTCAAGTGCAATTTTCTTTGGGTAAGCCTTCCTAGTTTTTGACTTGTGGTCTGTTCAAGTATTCTTCCTGAGTTTACTTTTATGCCATCAAAAGTTGTTTTTATCCCTCCTTGAACTTTTTTTTTTTTTTTTATTTTCCTAGCATTGGGCCGTAGATCTTTTAAATTATTTGACCTCAGGATCCCTTTTTATTTGTAAAAACTGAGGAACTTTTGTTTTTATGGGTTCCATTTATTGGTATTAGCTAGTCAAAATTAAGATAAATATAAAAATATTTTTGAAATGCATCAATTTTTATCAGCTTTTTTGAGCTACAGTTTATGTCTTTGCTTTTTTTTTTTTTTTGATTTATTTATTTATTTGAATATTAGAGTTAGAGAGAGGCAGAGGCAAAGAGAGAGAGGTCTTCCATTCACTGATTTACTCTTCAGATGGCTGCAATGGCCAGAGCTGTGCTGATCCAGAGCCAGGAGCCCTTTCTGGGTCTCGGATGTGGTGCAAGGACCCAAGGACTTGGGTCATCCTCCACTGCTTTCTCAGGCCATAGCAGAGAGTTGGATTAAAAGTAGAGCAGCCAGGACTTGAACTGATGCCCATATGGGGTGCTGGCACTGTAGGTGATGGCTTTACCCACTATGCCACAGTGCTGGTCCCACCTTTTTTTTTTTTTTAAGATTTTATTTATTTATTCGAAAGAGTTACAGATAGAGAGGGAGAGATATTCTATCTGCTGGTTCACTCCCCAAATGTCCACAGTAGCCAGGGCTGGGCCAGGCTGAAGTCAAGAGCCAACAATGGCTGGAGCTGGGCCAATCTGAAGCCAGGAGAGGATCTTCTTTTTGGTCTCCTATGTGTGTGCAGGGCAGAGACCCAAGCATCTGGACCATCCTCTGCTGCTTTCCCAGGCTGTTAGGGAGCTGTATAAAAATTGGAACAGCCAGGACTTGAACTAGTGCCCACGTGAGATGCTGGATCCACAGGCAGAGGCTTAACCCATTGTGCCACACTGCTGGACCCAGGATCCAGGAGCTTCATCTGGGTCTCACGTGGGTGGCAGGAGCCCTCCAGGCACATTAGCTGGATTGGAAGTAGAGCAGCTGGGACTCAAATCCATGCCCATGTGGTATGCCAGGGTTGTAGGTGATTACTTTGTCCACTACACCGTAGTACCATCCCCTCAACCTCAACATCTTTGATTATAAAGTCAAGAAAGTCTAGTTAAAATCACACGTTTCACTTAACCCACTAGGATGGTTATAATTTATTTGTGGAAAAAGGAAAAGCAGTAGTAAGTGCTTTTAATTCATTTATGTTTTCTTTGATGGATTGTGCTTTTGGTGTCATAACTAAAAATTTTGCCTACTACAGGACTTTGAAGGTTTGCTTCTGAAACTTGTTTTATTTGAGATGAGATTTTATGTTCATCTTTTTTTATTTGTTTGAAAGGCAGAGTATCAGAGAGAGAGAGGGAGGGATCTTCCCTCTGCTGGTTCATTCCCCAAATGGCCAAAGCATCCAGGGCTGGACCAGGCTGAAGCCAAAAGCCAGGACTTCCATCTAGGTTCCCCCATTTGGGAGTCAGGGGCCCAAGTACTTGCCATCATCTGCTTTCTTCCCAGGGCCATTAGCAGAAAGTTGAATGGAAGTAGATTAGCTACGACTTGAACTGGCCCTCCAGTATGTGATCTCAGTGTCACAAATGGCAGTTTGACCTACTTTGTCACAATCCCAGCCCTTAAGTTCATCCTTTTGTATCTAGTATATATATTTCCAAAATATATATTAATTCATTAAAAAAATAACCTCTTTATATGGTAACATAATTGGTATGTTCTTTATGAAAAAAATAAATATTTAATGAGAAGAGTAGTGTTTTACATTGTTCTTTTGTTTGTTTTACTGTTTGACCTAATAGAAGATGATTGTCATATCTGCTTCTACATTCAGTCTGTTGCAATATCACAAATCATGTAGCCTCTAGAAAGCTACTGTATATTTGTGAGAGAATGAAAGTGTAAAAGTCAAGTAATGTCTTTGTGTTATAATGAAAATAGTTTTACTCTCATGGATCCCATTGATCAGGTATCCCAGGGCTCTTCAGATGAACTTTAAGAGATGAACTTTAAGAGCTTCTTTAAAATCACATTGGATGATTTCTACTTTAAAATCACTTAGAATTCCAATTTGTGTATTTCATTTCTTGGCTTCTCATTTTATTATCTTTGTGTTTTATTATTGTATAAAACTTTTAAATATCTTTTAATTTTTATAAATATATGATGTTTTAAGGTTGACTATGAAGATTTTATAGACCAAGCATGAGTAAAGTATGATTCATGGGCCAAATTCAGCTTATGGCTTGTCTTCGTAAAGATGGTCTCACTGGAATATGGCCACACTTAATTGTTTATATATTATCTATCATGCTTCCATTCTACAAAAGAAGAGTTGAGTAGTTATGACAGGAACAAATGACTTCCAAGCTTTAAAAGACCTTCCATCTGGCCCTTTATGTAAAATTTGCTGACCCTCATTATGGATTATAGTTTTTAATCACTGATGTTAAATAGAATGCTTCAGCAGTAGAATTAAAGGTAGTTTTCTATAATTAATATTACCAATTCAGCTTTCTAGTTATAAAATACTGAGCTATCATAATGGGAAGTTAGACCTAGTCTTATTGACTTGACTTGGCTCTGTTTATATTTTCTTAATCATTTTTCAAAGGATGTTTTCTTGGTTGTCAAAAAAGTTAATTCCTTGTTGAAGAGAAGAAATGGGATATTAATTATTTACCCTATCAAATTAAGAGAGTTTGCAAAGTACTTCTTTTCATTGGCTGAGAAATATTAAAAGATGTATAAAAGACTGTCAAATTTAATCTTAAATGTTTCAATTTGTGCTATTTCAGGATGATCTTGAAGACCTTATTGTTAACTGGGATGAAAGCAAAAGCATTGGTGACATCTTTCTTAAATATGTATGTATCTTATTTCTTTTTTAAGTTTTTGGGTTAAAGTAACTCATCAAGGACTGGCAGGGTGGTTTTTTTGTTTTTAATTTTATTTAAGGTATATCAATTTCATGTACTTTATATATACAGAATTAGGAACACATTGATGATTTTATAACTTGACATGGTTATGTTTACAAAATATATTAGAAATGTCTTTGTTTTCTGAAACATGCTTTCTACACGCAATTTAACACTTTGACAGCACAAAATTATCATTAGAAGAACATTAACTGTTGTACTGTGCCATACTTGCTTTAGTCTATTGCCACAGATGTATGATTTTTGAAGCTTTCTTTAATTTTTTATTTTTCTCTTTTTTTAGTTGACATGCTTTTTTGTTTTTGCTATATCTGTTTAAAGATTTGTAATTAATTATTTCTTTACTAAGATAAAAATCATACAGCTTAGGTTTATAAAATAAATTTATTTTGATGAAGTACTATGAATGAGATTTACAGTGTAAGTTTCTCCGAATCTCCTTGAATAGGATTTGTAAGTTCCAGTGCCTTGAGTACTGGCATGTAATTTCATTTTCTGAAGCCTCTTCTCAACTTTATTTCTTTCCATAAAGGTCATAGGTATTTTTTCTGGTTGGTTGAGAATTTCATGTATGTACATTTTTTTGGATACCTACTAGTCTCCTGAATTATCTAAGTTATTGCTCCTTTTATTTTTAGGCATATAATTGATCTTTTAATGCCTATTTGGGTTCCTTAATAAATAATAACATGCTCTTGGGTTCCATGTTGATTAGCTGTAATTTAATGTATTCTGAGCTTACAGAAGTTTTAAAATTCTGATTTGTTTGTATCAATACATAAAGCTTTAATATATTTTTTCCCCTTTCTGGATCTTTGTTTGCTTAAAAAAAAAAAAGCTTTAATTAAGAGAGAGAGAGTGAGAGAGTTTCCTGTCTAATGGTTTATTCCCCAAATACCTGTGACTGTTGGCACTGGGGTGAGGCTAAAACTAGGAGCCAGGAACCTAATCCATGTTTCCCACTTGGAAAGAAAACCAGATACTTGAGCCATTACTTCTGCCTTCCGGGGAGCACATTAGCAGAAAACTGGAGTTAGGAGTTGAAGGCAGGTATTAAACCCATTCTAATGTGAGATGCAGACATCTTAACCACTAAGCCAAACACCCACTCCTTTGTTAGCTTTTAAGTTTTAGACTATGTGTATCGATTGATACTTTTTGTTTGGCATTAACTCACTCTTTAGTGAGAGTTTTAGGTGATGAATTTCTATATTTCACTTGTGAAGAAACTTTTTTTTAATTTTTACATACAGTATGATTGTGACTTAATTATTTTTCATTGTCTAAGGGTGACATGCATAACAAATTAATGTGTTTCTTTCCTATTTCTTCTTCCTAGTCAAAAGATTTGGTAAAAACCTACCCTCCCTTTGTAAACTTCTTTGAAATGAGCAAGGAAACAATTATTAAATGTGAAAAACAGAAACCAAGATTTCATGCTTTTCTCAAGGTAATAAATACACATTTCTTTCAAATAAAAATCTGAGGATCATTTCTGAAGGAATTCAATAAACAGCAACAAAAAAGTAAATTATAACTTTAATAAAACTGTATCAGTGAAAGAATATGTTAATGTGTTAATTTTAGTTGTACTTGTGGGTGGCACTTTTTAGTTTTACAAGATTTCATAATATATTATGTAGTGGATGCCAATAGGCAGCTGAGTGTTCTGTGTGCTTGTTAGAAAAAAGATACACATGTTTTAAGTCTAAACACACCTATAAGATTTTCAGTAAGATTTTGTCTTTAATGATTTTTAAGTGTATCCAGTAGTGTCAGCGTAGTTAATATTGTAAAACCTTTTTACTTGTAAGTGATATAGACTTATGAGAAGCTTAAGATGGGATACATGGAGAGTATAGAGAGGAACTCAAAGTCTGTGTCAGATGTCAACCTTTGGCTTCCTGAGAGGTAATTTCAGGCCCAGCATATCTTTTCTACTGAGACACTAATGATAAAATATAATCTCATAAATAGAGGCTGGCTAATCTATGTAGAAAACATCTTTTAAATTGTTGAATAAATTAATTCATTTCAGATAAACCAAGCTAAACCAGAGTGTGGACGGCAAAGCCTTGTTGAACTTCTCATCCGACCTGTGCAGAGGTTACCGAGTGTTGCATTACTTTTAAATGGTACTTGTCTTTCTATTACAAGACTGTTTTAGATATTTTCATATGATTTTTTTTAAAGTAGAAATCTTCTCATTTTCAAATTTTTTTAGATTTTAGCATTCAAGTTTATATGTTTTTTACACAGGAAAAAACTTTGTGGATTATTTAAAAAATAATCACTCCTGCTACAAAAATTTAGCCTGGCCTGAAATATTTTTTTAATTTAAGGCTTTTTATTTATTTTGAAAGTCAGAGTTAGAGAGAGGGTGAGGCAGATCTTCCATCTGCTGATTCACTTCCCAGATGGTTGTAACGACCAGCACTACACAGGCTGAAGCCAGGAGCCAGAAGCTTCATTCGAGTCTTCCACATGAGTGTCAGGGGCTCAAACTCTTGGGTCAACATCTTTTGCTTTTCTCAGGCCATTACCAGGTAGCTGGATGGGAAGTGGAACAGCTGGGAAGTGAACTGGCACCCATGTGGGATGCTGGCGTCGCAGGCAATGGCTTTGCCTGTTATGCTACAACACTGGCCCCAGTATTGTACTCTTTGTCTTTAAACTTAAAAATCTTCTTCTATTTCATGATGTGTCACTAATGCAAAATTAGTTTACATACAAATAAATACAAAATTGATCCACAAGAATTACAAGGAAATGATTCACATATCCTAAGTTTTTTAGTCTTTTCCTGAATTTTAATAAAGTTCTATATATGTGACATTTTGTTTACTTTTTTTCACTGTAGATTATTTAGTATACTTTGAAGCATATATCCATTTATTCAAGAACTTAAACCATTGATAATAGTAGAAGGGAGTTTTATGGCAGAGTATTTTTTTATTATTTATTTATTTTTAAAGATTTATTTATTTGAAAGACAGTTACAGAGAGAGGTAGAGACAGAGAAAGAGGTCTTCCATCTGCTGGTTCACTCCCCAGATGGCCACAATGGCCGGAACTGCGCCAATCTGAAACCAGGAGCCAGGAGCGTCTTCTGGGTTTCCTAGGAGGCTATAGGGGCCCAAGGACTTGGGCCATCTTCTACTGCTTTCCCAGGCCATAGCAAAGAGCTGGATTGGAATAGGAGCAGCCAGGATTAGAACTGGTGCCAATATGGGATGCCCCCCCCCCTTTTTTTTTTTTTTAATTTAATTGATTTATTTGAAAGAGTTACAGAGAAAGAGGGAAAGACAGAGAGATCTTCCATTCACTGGTTCACTCCCCAGATGGCCTCAATGGCCGAGACTGGGCCAGGCAGAAACTAGGAGCCAGGAACTTAGTCCAGATCTCCTACATGCCCCAAGTACTTGGGGCATCTTTTGGTGCTTTTCTCAGGCCATTTACAGGGAGCTGGATCAGCAGTAGAGCAGCTGGGAACCAAACCAGCGTCTATATTGGATGCTGGCTTTGCTGGAAGCTTTCCCTGCTATGCCGCGATGCCGGCCCCATAGATTTATGTATTTTAAATGCAAAATGAAAGACTAGTGGAGAAAGGGAAAGAAAGAGAAATCTTTGGTCCACTGATTTACTCCCCAGATGGCTGCAAAAGCCAAGGGCGGGCCAGGCTGAAGCCAGGATATCCGTCCAGGTCTCCCAAGTGGGGCAATGGCTCAAGGACTTGTACCATTATCTGCTGTCTTCCTAGTGCATTAACAAGGAGCTGGATCAGAAGCCAGTCAGCCAGGATATGAACTGGGACACCAATATGGGATGCCAGTGTTGCAACTGGCGCCTAACCTGCTGAACCACAACAGGGGCCCCGCAAAGTGTTTTGAAGAATAAATTTTGGCTGGCGCCACGGCTTACTTGGCTAGTCCTCCACCTGCAGCGCCGGTACCCCGGGTTCTACTCCCAGTTGGGGTGCCAGATTCTGTCCTGGTTGCTCCTCTTCCAGTCCAGCTCTTTGCTGTGGCCCAGGAAGGCAGTGGAGGGTGGCCCAAGTGCTTGGGCCCTGCACCCGCATGGGAGACCAGCAGGAAGCACCTGGCTCCTGGCTTCGGATCAGCGCAGCGCGCTTGGCCATATAGGGGGGTGAACCAACGAAAGGAAGACTTTTTTCTCTGTCTCTCTCTCTCTCTCTCACTGTCTAACTCTGCCTGTCCAAAAAAAAAAGAATTTTGCCTGTGTTAAAATAAAAAAAAAGTGTATTTTACATTTAATTGGCTAAAGTAGTATTTGTCGAATAATGTCTGTTTTTATGTTAAGCATGAAAGCTAATTTAAAAACATAATTAAGTCTGTCATAAGGAATTTTGATTTTTCACTTTTACTATAGTAATATGTACAGCAGAAAAGGAAGCTCATTTTATGAATGTTTATATTTTTGTAAACTATTTTAGTATATTGTACACAATAAATAGTAATTTTTGTTCCTTTTAGAGTTATCTAACGTAGTGAGCATTATAGCTTATAAAATGGTTTTCCAACTCTTAAAGACAGTCTCTTACACATTATAAGAAAGTGTAAACAAACTTGTTTCCAAAATGTATTTTTTGCTAGTTTTTAAACCTTAATTATTATTTCATTGTGTATTTGTAGAATTCCAAAAAATGTTTAAAATGAACTTGATTTCTAAGTTTTTTCTCCCCTATTATTCCATATAAAAATTACGTAGACATGGAACTAGATTGAGCAAATGTTTGATTATAATGTGCTGAACATGGCACAGAGAACATGATAAGCATTCTGGATAAAAGGAGTCATCCTGTTACCTGTCAATCTCTAAAATAACAAAACAAAACCTGCTGTTAAGGATATGAGATGCTCTCTGTGATGCTGTCAGAGTCTCCTTATGAAATGTAAAATAATAATAGAGCTAATTGAAGATCATGTGTTTTCACACAGCAGTATGGAAAGAGTTTGAAGAATCTAGAAGTTTCCAAGTGTTACTAGAAGGGATTGAGAGAGCAGCGTAACAAAATCAATTTATGTACTCTGAAAATTTAGTAAACTATGGAGTTCTGTTTGTTTTTTTTTTAACAGGCAGAGTTAGACAGTGAGAGAGAGAGACAGAGACAGAGAAAGGTCTTCCCTCCGTTGGTTCACTCCCCAAATGGCTGCTATGGCTGGTGTGCTGTGCCTCCTCCTGGTCTCCCATGCGAGTGCAGGCGCCCAAGCACTTGGGCCATCCTCCTCTGCCTTCCTGGGCCACAGCAGAGAGCTGGACTGGAAAAGGAGCAACCAGGACAGAATCCTGCACCCCAACTGGGGCTAGAACCCAGGGTGCCGGTGCCTCAGGCAGAGGATTAGCCTAGTGAGCTGTGGCGCTGGCCAACTATGGAGTTCTTCACAGATGTGTCAGAGTATCTTTTAGGGAACATTGCTTAAAACATTTTAAGTAAAGATTAGATGCTTTAAAAGTAATCAGCTCATAGCAAGAAGGACAGCAATTTTAAGTCTTAGATGGCAAGTCACTGAATTTGTTTTAATCATGGAAAAAACATTGTTACAGATCTTAAGAAGCATACAGCTGATGAAAATCCCGACAAAAGCACTTTAGAGAAAGCTATTGGGTCACTAAAGGAAGTAATGACGTAAGTGCATTATCTCAGTCTTATTGTGCCTTAGATTCTTTTTCACTTGGACTTTAACATTTTATTTCTTACCTTGAATTTATTGAATTAAATTGCCAGGACTGATAGGAAAGGTGTTGATACTACCAACTCAATCAACTTGATTTGAGGAACTTGATCTTTACACTTAAGCTGCTTACTATAAGTCTAATTTGAGAGACTAGGTTTGATACTAAATGATTTTTTCTGACTATTATCATTAGAGTGAAAACTGTTAACCCTGAACTGTTTTGCCTTATAGAAGGCACTTTCAAGAGTTTCCTCTTTGATTTGTTTCAATGTATTTATAGATTTAATTAAATGATTCCTGAGATTCCCTGAGGTGCTTCTATATGAAAATGTTTCTCAAAATATTTGCAAAGGACCTCTTAGAAGAACAGTTTACCTGGGCCAACACTGTGGCATAACTTGTAAAGCCGCCACCTGCAGTGCTGGCATCCCATATGGGCACTGGTTTGGGTCCTGGCTGCTCCATTTCCAATCTAGCTCTCTGCTATGGCATGAGAAAGCAGTAGAAGATGGCCCAAATATCCTTGGGCCCCTGCACCCACATGGGAGACCTGGAAGAAGCTCCTGGCTCCTGGTTTGGATTGGCACCACTCTAGTCAATGTGGCCAACTGGGGAGTGAACCAGCAGATGGAAAATTTCTCTCTGCCTCACTTTCTCTGTCTCTCTAATTCTGCCTTTCAAATAAATAAAATAAATCTTAAAAAAAAAAAAAAAGGAAAACACTTTACCAGCACTAGAGAACATTCAAAAAGATTTCTCTCATTTTTTAAAATAAATATATTTATTTATTTATTTGTAAGAGTTACACAGAGAGAGAAGGAGAGGAGGAGAGGCAGAGAGAGGTCTTCCATATGCTGGTTCACTCCCCATTGGCTGCAATGGCCGGAGCTGTGCCAATCCAAAGCCAGGAGTCAGGAGCTTCTTCTGGGTCTCCCATGTGGGTGCAGGGGCCCAACGATGTGGGCTATCTTCTACTGCTTTCCCAGGCCACAGCAGAGAGCTGGATCGGAATTGGAGCAGCCGGGACTTGAACTGGCTCCCATATGGGATGCCGGCACTGCAGGCGGCACTTTTAACTGCTATTCTACAGCGCCGGCCCAAGACTTCTATTAATCTCTTGTTTGAGAGAATGATCTTCAGATTAGTCATCCTTCATGCTTTTGATTTGTTGGAATGAAATTAGTAATCTGGAAGGCATATGATAACTTTCTGTAAACCCACACCTATTTAAAATACTTCACCACACATTATTTACCTTGGTCCTTTCAGCAAACTTTATGAAGTAGATGATCATTGTTAAGATGTCTTTATAAAAGAAAAAAATGGAGAGATTGTTACTTGCCCATTTTGTCTTTTCAGTTTGTAGAATAACAAGTAGCTGATGGTATTTTTTATTTATGTATAATGTATTTTAGTAAACAAAGATTATAAGGTAACCTAAATAGCAAATAGAATAGTCTGTTAACCAGGTTCCTCTTTTAGAATAGTGTCAAGCTGGCTCCTAGGGGTCATAAGCTGATTAAATAAAGCAAATGATTAAATACTTTTTCTTTCAACATTATTTTAACTTGCTGAAAACTCAAAAATATTTTTTAAAGATTAATTTATTTATTTGAAAGGTAAAGTTAGGAGAGACACGGAGAGAGAGATCCTCCATTCAGTGATTCACTCCTCCAGTGGTTACAATGGCTGGGGATGGGCATATCTGAAGCCAGGAGCCATAGCTTCTTTCAGTTCTGCCATGTAGGCATAGGGGCCCAAGCACCTGGGCCATCCTCCTTCCTAGGCACAGTAACAGGGAATTGGATGAGAAGTAGAGCAGGCAACCAGCCTCACGCCACAGCTCATCATTCCCTGCCCCTCTCCCAGCTGAGATTTTAATATTGCATTGTGATAGTGACTTTAAAAACCTTACAGAGTATGATCAAATCTAAATTCTTGACTTTTTTTTTAAATGATTTTATTTATTCAAAGAATTATAGAGAGGCGGGGTGGGGGGGGGGGTCTTCCATCCACTTGTTTATTCTCCAAATGGCAGCAACTACCAGAGCTGAGTTGATCCAAAGCCAGGAGCCAAAAGTTTCTTCTGGGTCTCCCACATGGGTGTAGGGACCCAAGGACATGAGCTATCTTCCCCTGCTTTCTCAGGCCATAGCAGAGAGCTGGATCAGAAGTGCAGCAGCAGCCAGGACTCGAACCGGTGTCCATATGGGATGCCAGCACTGCAGGCCAGGGCTTTAACCCATTGTACCACAGTGCCAGCCCCAAGAGATTCTTGAACAGTTAGCCTAGGGATTAAATGCTTATTATGGTGATTGAAAAAGCCATAATCTATCAGGTGAAGGAGATGAGATATCAGCAATTCACTAGACTGTGCTATTTGTGTAACCCTAAAGAAACCAACAAAAACTTAAAAGTTTTGGATTCTAAAAACATTATAAATATTAATGTGTTACAAGCTTTTAGTAACTTAAGCACAGTTTTTTCCCTAAACAAACTACATATGTTTAAAGTGTAGTATAATTTTGACATAAATTTGGCATGGAATGTAATTCCATGAAACCACCAATACAATCAAAATCAGGAACATTTCTGTCATCCCATCAAATTTGCTCATGTTACTTAGTAATCTCATTTTTTTCCCTCTCTCTTGAACATTCATCTCAAGGCAGTCATTACTATAAATATACTATTGTTCACACTTCTGTTTCCTTTTTTTGTTTTCTGTTTAGTGGTTGTGTTTATCATTGAAAGAGGGGTATGGGCTGATTCCGTGGCATAGTGGGTAAAGCTGCGGCTTGCAGCGCCAGCATCCATATGGCCGTCGGTTCTAGTCCCAGTTGCTCCTCTTCCAATCCCGCTCTCTGCTATGGCCTAGGAAAGCAGTAGAAGATGGCCAAAGTCGTTGGGCCTCTGCGTGGAAGACCTTACCATATGGGATACCAGTATTGTAGGTGTCAGCTTAGCTCACTGTACTGCAACACTGGCTCTACTCTTTGCGATTTCTATGCAGGGAGGAAACTTCTAATCTGTAAATTAGGATAATCATAGGGCAATCATAAGGCTTCTCTTACTTGTTTTTTCTCAGTAATTGGTTTACAGTGTTTGGGAACCCTTATTTCTTTATATTATCATTGATATTTTAGTTGTTTCAGGCACAATGATAAATCCATTCTCTCTTATTCCAATCTTGCCTGGAAGCAGTAATCTTGGTCTTTGTTTCAATGAAATGGTTGGCATATGACTTGAGTGGTTTGCATAAAGTCTTAATTGAAAAGACTCATTTATTTATTTGAAAGGCAGAGCGACAGAGATAGATCATCCATCTTCTGAATTATTTCCCAAATGCCCACAATAGCCAGGGCTGGGCCAGCTGGAAGCCAGGGACCTGGAACTTGATCCAGGTCTCCCACATGGGTGGGAGGAACCTAAAGAACTTGGGCCAAACAGGTGCCTTTAGCAGGAAACTGGATCAGAAGTGAAGAAGTAGGGACTTGAACCAACATTCTGAAATGGGATCCAGGTGTCCCAAGCAGTGGGTTAACCCACTGTGCCATAATGCCTGTCACCAAAATTTTGTTAACTTCAAGTTTATACAAGTTTTGTGTATTTTAGAAGATATATGGTGAACATAATAAAGTATATAGTAAGGAGTAAAATAGCGAAACATACTTTTTTGAAAAAATGTGGATTTTTTTCACAATCTAGTGTGATACTTTTAAGGACTATTTTCATGATTCACTTATCAGAATTAAGATTCACACACAGATTTTTGTGATGTAATATGTATTTCTATGCAGTTTCATGTTTTGAAAATAACTTTTAATTTTCCAGGCATATTAATGAGGATAAAAGGAAAACAGAGGCTCAAAAGCAAATTTTTGATGTTGTTTATGAAGTAGATGGATGCCCGGTAAATATTCTTTTTTTGAGTATTGTCAATGTACTTTCTCTTTCGTATTGATTTAATTTAGTTTTTAATACAAGCAAAATCTTGGTACCACTTTTCTTTAAAGTACAGCTTCATAAAACTTACTTGATATCAAGTGATTTCTTCTGTTATTTTAAATCTATACAGGCTAATCTTTTATCTTCTCACCGAAGCTTAGTACAGAGAGTTGAAACGATTTCCCTAGGTGAGCACCCCTGTGACAGAGGAGAACAAGTAACTCTCTTCCTCTTCAATGACTGCCTGGAGGTAAAGTTGTACTTATATGATGTAATAACAATGATGATTTTTGACTGCCCTGAATATTTAATCAAACTTTGATTGAAGTGTAGTCTAGAAGTTAAAGGTAACTCAACTTAAATAATCATTTTTTAAAAAAACTGAGAATGATAGTTGATTTAATACTATTAGTAGAGTGCTTTCAAAAGGAGAATATTTAATATTCAGAAGAATGCTACATTTCCATGACTTCAAATTCTAGTCAAAGTGACAATTTATTTCCATGAAAATAAATATGACAGTACTTCAAAAATTTCATGGAAAAATGTTTATTTTGATGCAGAAACTTTGAAAATTCATGCATAGTTTTTTTTCTTTTTCTTTTTAAAAAAGATTTATTTATTGGAAGCAGAGAGTGATAGAGAGAAAGAGGTAAAGACAGAGAGAGAGAGGGAGAGATCTTTGATCCATCGGTTCACTCCCCAAAAGGCTGCAAGGGATAAAGTTGAGCCAGACCAAAGTCAGGAGGCTGGAACTCCATCTGGGTATCCTTTGTGGGTGACAGGGGCCCAAGCACTTGGGCTGTCTTCCACTGTTTTCCTAGACTATTAGCAGGGAGCTGGATTTGAAGTGGAGCAGCCAGTACAAGAACTAGTGCTCATATGAGATGCCAGTGTCCCAGGTGCTTCTCTCATTGTGCCACAATGCCACCCCCTTAGTGTTTTCATAATATGAATTTTTCGTGAACTTTTGAAGACCCCTTGTATAAATACTTACATCAAAAATTTTGTGAACTTCTTGTTTTTATGTATATGTATTCAGCTTTTTCAAAAGAATTATGAATTATTTTTGAAATTTAAGATCTTTCCTTCAAAGATGAAAAATTTAATTGAAGGAGATAATGTGATAATTTCATATGTGAATTCGTTATGATCCCTTGATTCTTCCTTGAATTAGCAGATTTTAGAGTAAGGGTTGTCAGTGCATCATTTGGAGTAAAATGACTAATTGTATAATTCTGATTTAAACAAGTGAATTTTTAACATTCTAGTGAAGGATAAACAGTAGTGCATCTTCATCTTGGAAAAGAAAAATGTTTGTTTTGGTAAAATAGGCGTTAATAAGAATACACATTTGAGGTTTCTATTACTGGGTAACTTCATTGCCTTCATTAAAATAAGGGGTGGGTTTCCTTTTTTTAAGTCAATACTCTTCTTTCTATCCTTTTCTACTTCTTTTCTCTTGAAGTATTGCCCTCTTCTATCAAATACATTATTATTTAAAGTGCAAAATACAAGGGAACAAGCCATGTGCAGAGCAGTTAGAGGTGCAGTGAAATCTTATTAGAGCTTCAACTTGTTAAATGCAGAGTTTTGTTGCCATTAGTTAATGAAAAATAGTGTCATTTGGTCAGTAAGAGTATAAAAACACAAAAGTAAAGACAGTAATAATATCATACACAGTTGGCTGTAGCCTAAAGTGTGAAAGTAAATATTAAGAGGCAGTTAATGCTCAGCTACCTTTTTCCCCTTCCTCAGTAGGAACTTTAGCTTACTCTGCTTTTGAGTACAGGGGTAGGTGAAGGAATCAGTTTTCAATCCTACATTATCTGAATTTGTATTATCATGGGTTTTACTGTACCTAGGTTTTCTGTGCTTATGTTTGTTTGCTTCTGTTAAGTCTTTGAAAAATTTTTTATTTATTTGAAAGGCAGCTTGATAGGGTAGAGGAGAGAGAGAGACAGGGAGAGAAATCGCTCCACAGGTGGCTGCAACACTTTCCATGCTGAAACCAGGTCGGGAACTCCATCCACGGGTCTCATATGGGTGGCATATGAGCCGTCATCTGCTGCTTTTCAGGCACATTAGGAGGGAGCTGGATCAGAAGCGGAGTAGCTGGGACTCAAACCAACCCTCTGATATGGGATGCTGGCATCTCAAAACAATGGACTAACCTCTTGCACTACATTGTCTACCCCATCTATTAAGGGTTTTTGTTTGTTTGTTTTTCCTGTTGAAATCCCTAGGTCACCTAGCTCGATCATCCATCCAGTAGATTAGGTTATCTGTACTTCTTTGCCAATCCATTCTGTTTTTCATCCTTTTGTTCCCAAGGGAGCCATTATTTACTTTTAAATGGTTTCCTTTACTTTCTTGAGTCCAGTGAGTTTTTGTTCTATTCTTTCCTTGCCTCTATGACTCAGAATCATATCAGCAGAAATTCCTCTAACATTGAATTTACTCCTTTTTTTTTTTTTTTTTTTTTTTTTAATTTGAAAGGCATAGAGACAGAAAGAGGGAGGCAGAGAGAAAGAGGTCCTTCATCCTCTGCTTCACTCCCCAAATGTCCACAATGGAGTTTCTAGTTTCTGGGTTTGACCTGGCCCAGCCCTGGCTCTTGTAGCCATTTGGACAGTGTGAGTAGATAGAAGCTCTCTTTCTTTGTGACTCTGCTTTTCAAATAGATAAGTCTTTTAAAAAAGGAAAGAACTTGAAACTGTTTAATTGCTTTGCTTAGCCAACTTACCTTGAAAGTACTTTCAGATACTGCAATGCAAAGAATTATTTTAAGAGGCTTTATTGCTTATTTTCACTGTACTAATGTAAATTAACTCCTTGTATTTGGTATGTATAGTTGATGTAAATCATAGACCTGTTTAATTTCTGTTTCGATGTGAATATGATATGCTGACTAGCTTTTAAGTCTTTTCTCATTAGCCCCAGCACAGAATAGTACATTTTTTAGTCATACTTTGTCATTTTCATGATGATGTCCAATGAATCTTAATTTAAGTAACTTAATCTAAAGTCAATTTATGTTAATGTCTTTCAGTTGATAATTATGACTATAAAAGAGGCTTTAAAAAACACTGGCAAAATTATATATGAAACTTGCCATGAAGCAAGAACCCAAAATTAAAAACCTTATAAAATTTGAAAAAACTAAGTACATCCTTAGATCACAGTATATATATTGTGATATATATATATATATTCTATATAAACCATAGATTTCCACTTTATTTTTCTAGAGAATAACTTTTCTTCAGCCCTTAAAGATTACACTCCTTACATGGGTTTTGGCAGAGGCCATGGGGTAGCACCAGCAGGTCTAAATCCCGGTGGTGGTGTCTGGTCCTTGCAGGGTTCACGAGACCGATTTCTGACCACCTTGTTGTGAATGGTGCAACTCTCACAATAATGTAGCTTCACATAGTAGGCATCGAAAACACTCGCTTCGGAGATGTCCCTGATGGCTGCGGCCTCCACTATGTTGTGGATGGCGAAGTTCTTAATGGCCTTGTCCTTGGGCATGCAGCGAGCGCAGTTTGTGCAGCGAATAGGCTGCACATGGTTGCAGCCCTTTATAGCACAGCCGTTGTTCCGTCTTTTCTTTGTCATCTTGAAACCGGGGACCTGATTTTGCTGCTGTCTTCTCTGTTGTCACCTTATGTGTCTTTTCCTTTTGCATGAATACTCTATTTAGGTAAACTTAAATCCTAACACCAGACCTTGAATTTATAATTTGTATCATTTGTTTAGTGTATTATTTATTTCTTTAATGCTTCCCTTTTGCAGTAGTCTATAAATATTATGAACACAGGAACCATTTGTGTTATTTCCTCTGTGTTCTATTATAACCTTGCATAGGATCTGAGATATTGGAAATTCTGCTCTTAAGCAGAAATTAATTATTTGAAGGCCTATTTCAGTATTTGTTTCATCTTTTGATCCTATTGTTTCTTGCAATGCTTCTTAGTGTTTTTTTTTAAATACTGGAACCTTTTATATACATTCTATCCCTTTGATGGTTTTTCTCACTTTTGCAGTCTTATGTAAACTTGAGAATTTTCTCTATACAGTTTCATCTATGATTTTGTCACATAGCAATTGTGCTTCTTATGTATAGTTACTAATGATTCATGCTCAAATGAGTTATATCTAGATTTATGTGATTAATGCTATTTTAAAGTATTTGGTCCTTAACTGTTTTTATTAATATGACTGATCATAACTTTTATATTTTCTCTGATCAGATAGCAAGAAAACGACACAAGGTTATTGGCACTTTTAGGAGTCCTCATGGGCATACTCGACCCCCGGCTTCTCTTAAGCATATTCATCTAATGCCTCTTTCTCAGATTAAGAAGGTGCTGGACTTAAGAGAGACAGAAGGTATACTCATTTGATAAATTATTGGCTAAGTAAAAATAGTTTCTATTCATTGTAGATTTGATTTACTCTCTTATAGTTTTCTAAGTTGATTAATTATATTGACCAAATTTGGTAGTATCAGAGAAGATTCTCTGAAGATCTAAAGTTGCCAGAAATGTATACCTAACTGAAATTATGTCATTTCTTTAATTGGCATCTAGTGGTGTGTGTTTGTGGGCATATGCTGGATATTAGGTGTCTGTTTTTACAATGTAAACTTTTTCCATTATTGATTCTTCTAACAATGGAAGGTTTGAATTCACAAGAAATGATTCTTAAAATCTGAGCAAGAACTTGTGTTACTCTTTCACTTGATTGTCAAACTCTGGATTTAGTAAGGATCACATAGTATGTTTAAATTATGTTATTTTGGGTTTTAGTCATGAATGAATTCACTGTTCAAAACAGGTTCTATTTTAAGTATCTTGGTCACAAAAAGTTTTAATATTTACCATTTTATTTCTTTGATTTAAGTAGACTGAGTTATTGAATTATTCTTACAATGGCATTTTAATTTAAAATTTGAATTCTTAAAATTTTAAGAAATGATCTGTTTTCTTAAACTTCATCATAGAAAATATTAAGTAACATAGAGAATACTACTTTATGCCACTTACTGAATTATTATTATCAGTTCCTTAGTTGATATACTATTACTAATACAAGTCTTTCTAATGTTTCAATATAACAAGTTGATGGTTCTTTGTTTGAAAACAGAGGGGACAGGGAGAGGGGAGATTAATTAATGTCATTGGAATTTTACTGCACTGAAGGAATTAAACTTGTATAGTGAATTATTTTCCAAGGAGTGACACTTAATATTTATGGATTTTCTGGAACCCTAGATTGCCATAATGCTTTTGCCTTGCTTGTGAGGCCACCAACAGAGCAAGCGAATGTCCTGCTCAGTTTCCAGATGACATCAGATGACCTGCCAAAAGAAAACTGGCTAAAGATGCTGTGTCGACATGTAGCCAACACCATTTGTAAAGCGGATGCTGTAAGTTCATAAACCAGTGTTGTGAGGAAAGTTTAAACTCCATGATAATGTGTTCCCCTGGAGTAAAACTATATGGTTCTAATGATATCATTAATTAAGAATGTAGGAGAGTTTTAGTTTTGTATGTATTCAGGAAAACTGGTTTGACAAGTTGTTTTGGAGATTTTTTGTAAAAGGTTAGATGCATAAAACATTTCATTCATTTTCATTTCATTGGTATTCTTGGACATGGCTGTTACAAGTTTGAGTATCCCTTATTTGAAATGCTTAGGACCAGAAAATGTACAGTTTTGCAGATTTTGGACTATTTCCAATGGCTTTACTGTTTAAATATCTCTGATCTGGAGATCCTGAATCTGAAATGCTCCAAGGTCTGAAATTTGAGCATCCCATTAGCTCTTTTTGGAGCATTTTTGATTTCAGATTTTTACATAGGGATGTCAAACTATAGTACAAAAGCGTGTTTCATTCTTTAAATCTAGAAAGCTAGATATGGGTTGTAACCTGTTGCTTTTATTGTCAGCTCAATTTACCAATCTATTTTTCTTACACCAACTCTTAAATACCATGTAATTCCTTTATGATGAGAAAATTGAAATACTGAAGTTGAACGACTTTCCAGAAATCTGGGTAGCCTGTGGTAGATCTTGGATGAAACTAGGTCCCCTGAAAGATAAGTTTTATTTCCTAAACTCCACATGTGAGGTATGACCCACAGAAATAGATCTCTTATTCTCTGCACAGCTACAGAGATTGAAGAGAAAGTGTTGGTGTAGTAGATAATTGTTTCAGAGTAATAGTATCATAAGTGAGATTTCCTTGGATGTTCTTAGGGGAATAAAACATTTTAGCATGTTAAGTCTGACCTTGAGTGATATTTAGGCATAATATGAAGTAGGTAATCCTTAATTAAACTTCCCTACCTTGAAGTTTAGAACAATAAACAGATCTTTTGATTCATTGTTTCATTTCTATGAGCCAAGAATGTGTTATTTTAAGTAAAGGATTGTTCAGTGAAGAGGCTCATAGAAGGCAACGCATACAACTAGAATATTGGCAAGAGAAAATGAAGATGGCTTTTGTTATAAACCTTATAAAACTTCTCATTATAAGGAATAATTTTTTTTCATAGTTGTAGGTATCCAAATGTAAAATGGGTTTTCTCATAGAATAGTGATTTCTTATTGTAGAAATTCTTTTGACATTAAGTTTTTTTAAAAAAATTATTTTCATTTTATTTGAAAGGCAGAGAAGCACGCAGAGTGTGAGAGAGAGAGAAACAGAAAGAGAGATCGAGATCGTCCATCTGTTGGTTTACTCCCCAGTGCCCAAAATGGACAGGGCTGGGCCAGGCTGAATCCAAGAGCCTGAAACTCAATCTGGGTCCTCACATGGGTGGCAGTGTCCCGAGTACTTGAGCCATTATTTGTTATCTCTCAGTGTGTGCATTAGTAGGAAGTTGGAATTGAAAGAATAACTGAACTTGAACCTAGGCACTCCAATATGGGGGGCACTTTACCACTGTACCAAACGCCTATCTTTAGTCCTGCATTTTTGTTAGGATGTCAGACTAGATGGTTTATACATTCCTTTTTAGATATTTGGGGAGTTTGCTAAGAAATGCAAGAACTGTCTCCCTCTTTCTGTCTCTCTGCCTTGAAACAAACAAATAAATGTTTAATATATATTAAAAGTATAAGTGATATATTAAATGCATTTAAATAATTTATGTATATATATCTATTGAATTACTAGCCAGAAGGTGGCCAGTGATAATATAACTGAATCTAAACAACAGGAAAAATTTCAGAAAGTATAATTAGCCACAAGATGGCAGCAGACATTTAACTATGTTTTCATTTGTGCTGTTTTCTATCATAAAATCCTTTCAGTCTGTTGAAATTCTTTTCTTCAGAATTATGTCTGTAAATTCAGATATTCAGTGACTTCAGCTGAGTACTTCCCTGAATTTAAATTTTACACATAACACATAGTACATTTTTAAAAAGCTTTTAGTCAGTGTTTTGAGAACATTTTGTCACATTGCAGAGATTTTTTTTTAAAGATTTATTCATTTATTTGAAAGTCAGAGTTACACAGAGAGAGAAGAAGAGGCAGAGAGAAAGAGAGAGAGAGAGAAAGAGAAAGAGGTCTTCCACCCATTGGTTCACTCCCCAATTGGCCGCAATGGCCAGAACTGCGCCAATCTAAAGCCAGGAACCAGAAGCTTCCTCCAGGTCTTCCCATGTAGGTGCAGGGGCCCAAGGATTTGAGCCATCTTCTTTACTTGCTACACCACAGTGCCGGCTCCAAGAATGTATTTCTAAGTATGGAAGTCCAAAAGATGTAAAACGTCTCTGATTTTTTTTTGTTTTTGTTTTTGTTTTTTTTTTAGTTAGACTTATGTATACCTAGCTCCTAGTCCAGGGCCTGCCTTTTTTTTTTTTAATTAAAGAGTTTTACTCATTTATCTGAAAGGCAGAGTTACAGAGAAAGAGGGAAAGACAGAGAGAAAGGGAATCTTCCATACACTGGTTTACTCCCCAGATGGCTGCAATGGCCAGGCCCAGGCTGAAGCCAGGAGCCTGAAACTTCATCCGATCTCTCATATGGATTGCAGAGGCCAAAGTACTTGCTGCTTTTCCAGGTGCATTTCTAGGGAGCTGAATTGGAAATAGAACATCCAGGACACAAACAAGCACTCACATGGAATGCCTGTATTGTATGCAGTGGCTTAACCCACTGTGCCACCTCACCAGCTTCTCTGATTCTTTTGAATAAGTAGTTTTTGTCCTCCTTTTATATATGAGGGTGCTTCAAAAAATTCATGAAAAATGCACATGAATTTTCTTTTAAAGATTTATTTGTTGGGGCCAGTGCTGTGGCTCACTTGGTTAATCCTCTGCCTTGCAGCACCGGCATCCCATGTGGGCACCTGGTTCTAATCCCAGTTGCTCCTCTTCCAGTCCAGCTCTCTACTGTGGCCTGGGAGGGCAGTGGAGGATGGCCCAAGTGCTTGGGTGCCTGCACTCACATGGGAGACCAGGATGAAGCCCCTGGCTCCTGGCTTTGGGTCGGTGCAGCGCTTGCCCTAGTGGCCATTTTGGGGGGAGGGGGATGAACCAATGGAAGGAAGACATTTCTCTCTGTCTCTCTCTCACTGTCTATAACTCTTCCTGTCAAATAAAAAAATTATATAAAAAAAGATTTATTTGTTATTGAAAGGCAGAGTTAGAGAATGGCAGAGAGAGAGAGAGAGAGCGCTTCCCTTCACTGCTTCACTCCCCAATTGGCCACAACAGCTATGGCTGGGCCAAGCTGAAGTTAAGAGTCTGGAACTTTATCTGGATCTCCCACATGGGAACAGGGGCCCAAATATTTGGGCTATTTTCTGCTTTCCCAGGTGCATTAACAGAGTGCTGGAATGGAATTGGAGTAGCTGGGACTTGAACCAGCACCCATAGAGGATACCAGCATTGCAAATGGCAGCTTAACCTGTGGTGTCAAAGTGCCAGTCCTGCACATTGACTTCTAATTTATTTTTCCATGAACTTTTGAAACTGCCCTCATATTTCTTGGTGCCTTAAATAATTGGAACTTACTTTAATTAAAAGTAAAATAAGTGCAACTATTTTATTATGTACCATTTGTCATGCTTATTTATAAATGACTTAAGAATTAGAATTTTCAGGTTGAAAGAACTTAATCTAATAATATTTTACATGTACAAGTAAGGCCAGCAGCAGTGACTGATTAAAGCTAACACTGAAATCTAGAAGTTATCCTAATTTTGGTCAAATCTTATTATTAGCTTTTTATCATTCTGAATATATGGCCCCTTATGTTGTTGTTTTAATATTAAGATTAAAAATTTAATCTATTGAAAATCTTATCAGAATACTTAGGTATTTTCAGTTTCTTCCCAAAATGTAATCTTTAATTGTGTGGTCCAATTCTAAGGTTTATAAATTACCTGAAGTTAGATGGTAGCTTTCATGAAGCCATTATAAATTTCTAATCTCAAGTGTCACAGTATAATTTTATTAATAAAAGAGTTTAAGCATTATCATATCACCCTTTCCCCCAATTTGATTTAGTTTGGAAGAAACTTGATAATTAAATGTCCTATGCTACAATTCAGTACCTTTGCCACTAACCCTTTATATTTCTTTTAAAAATCAAACTCTCCTATGTCTTAGTTTAATTATTATCACTGACTAATTATGAGTAGTAGTATTCACTTGATGTTTTTAAACTAGTAAGTGGAATTTCTATTTACTGTTGAGTGAAGCTAGAACATATATAAAAGTTTGTGCTTGTGAGCCAATAATGTTTATAATGAAAATGTGATTTATACTTGAAATTATAGATATTCTGTTAGTTATGAGGCATACATATTAAGTTAATATAAATGTCTGTAATTTGGTATAACTTTAATTTGGCCAAATCAGAAGCTCTTAGCTATAAACTTGATTACAGTTTGAAGAAATCACTGAGGCACAGGCTAAGGGAGGGAACATATCACAGTAGAAATTTTTTCCTTGGCATCTGGGAGTTTGAAGACTAGTTTAGGATGAGAGTTGATAGAAGAACAGAATAAAAGCTTACTAATTCGTGTCTCAACTGACTTAAACTTCCTACGAATTAATACATACAAATAGGGGTCTGAAATGTGGCTGAGGCTCACTTTATTCTGAAATTAATACCATGATTCTCAGCGGGAGAGGTTGATTACCACTTTCTAATTTTTTTTAGATTTATTTATTTATTTAAAAGGCAGAGTTATAGAGAGGGAGAGACAGAAGCAGAGAGAAAGGGATCATCGATCTGCTGGTTCACTCCCAGATGGCAGCAGCAGCCATCGTTGGGCCAGGCTGAAGCCAGGAACCAGGGGCTTCATCAGGTCTCCTATGTGGGTGCAAGGGCTCATATACTTGGTCCATTTTCTGCTGCCTTCCCAGGCACATTAGCAGGGAGCAGGGTTGAAAGTGGAGCACTTG